AAATATGGGTGTCTGGTCTGCTATTAACTTATTGCTGATTTTTACTTTTACAGTCATTTTTATGGTATACAGCTGAAATCAGAAAAGAATGGAAATTTCAACTAATTTTTTAATATACTGAAATGTATTAAGTTACACAAAAGAATCCATATTATAGTAATCCTGCATATATACAGGAAAAGAATACCCAGTGTGCATGGCAGATGGTTTCAAAGGAAATCCTCGAGAGCTAGGATTAAAAAGCAATTTTCAGCAAGTTTAAAATGGGTCTCCATATTTGGGTCACAGATATTAAGTCTTTCATTGCAAACAAATGAGGGAGAAGTCTTGTTGGATTATTATGGAAATGTTTCTCAATAAAAGCTGACCAGTGTGCACTGTGGAAGAAAGAAATGAGAACGGCAGTTGATTCCGCTTCTGATCCTGTTCTAACAGTAGTGGGAAGTAGAGTTCTGATATCAGAGGCAGTGGTATGTTGCGAGTAAATGGGATTCATTGTTCGGCTAACAAACACTGGCAGTCCTTTTAAAAATAATGTGTATATGGCTTCAATTTTTGTCTGCCCACTGAAGCAAATTTACATAAAGACAAACACAAAAACTGAAGAACAAAATATAAAGAATGATCTTGATTTTGTTGTTCTGGGTCTGCAAAGTTGGAATTTTTAAGGAAACCCAAGATATAAAGGTATCTAAATCCCATTTTGTTTCAGATTGCTGAACTCTGTTCCTGCCCCTGCCAATTTTCATTGATTTCATTGGCCTTTGTATCAAACTTGATATTTTTATACTGCAGTAGAGATGTGTGGATAATCCTGCTCCTCTCTCCTACCCATTGCTTTTTATTTTAAACTTTCTGGTAAATAATTTTTGGTGTGTTAGAAATGATATTTATACTTGTTTACATTTAGTAAAGTATACTTAATCGCTGTTTATTAAAGTGTAAAGACTTTTCATATAGCTTTTTTATATTCCTTTTGGATATGGCAAGCGTGCCTGATATATGATAAGTAAGAAACTGAACAGCAATTCTTTTGTTTAGTCATAGACAGGAACGAACATGGGCTCCAAGTTTTGCTTGGAAGTATGTCTGCACTTACAAACAGAAAGCAAGCCCATGCTTTCTCAAACATGTTTCAGGGGCACACCAGAAACTGATTTTTTTATTTTATTTTAAAAGGTTCTATTCTAAAGTAAACAGTACCATGTGAACATTGTTCCAGGCTGCAGCTGTTTATGTTGGTGGTGTTCAAACATCCAGAAATATTATCATCAGTATGATGCATGAAAGTGATAGAGTGCAGATCAGCTTTATGTTCTAAGAGCAAGAGAAGACACTGGGCTTTTAGTTGGTATACGTAGCGCAGCAAGTTGGAGACTACTGGCTTTAACTTATACCAGCTAGTAAATACGTTCATTCACATCAGTGCTGCCTTATACACTTCTGGCAGTGTAAAGGAACCTCAAGTTTGACATGAACTAACTTTTCTTTTAAAGACTTTTCTATTTCCAAAGTAGAAATTCAAGATAGGCCTTAAGCAATGTTTAGCACTAAACAATGAAATTTAGCAACTGATTTTATTGTGTTCACAAAGCTCAACTGGGTGTATTTTGAGTAGGTTTGGAAAGCTTTCTGAGCAAGGGTGCCTGATGCTCTGCTAAGTGACTTGTAGAAGTAATTGCTGGCTTAAATTTCAGCCTATGGAGAAGTTAATTGCATTGCTCTTTGGCTATTATATTGGCGACGTGTTAACAGCAAAGGACAATGTACTTCTGAAAGGGCATCATAAATGTCCTAGTGGGATAACTAACTGCGGGTATATCTACAAAATGTTAATTAACAATGCTAAATTATAGGTGTTTTCTGCAGGACTGATCTAAGGTAGATACCTGCTATTCCGAAAAGAAAATTCATATGATGGATGAAAATAATGTTATCAGGCAGCTTTCAGTGTTCAGTTCTTGTACCAAAACTAGAAAGCTTCAGTGGACTTAGGATTGGCTTTTAGTTCAAGTTGAATCTGTTCTTCTAGATCCTTGTTTTACATCACCTCCTATGGGAAGTTTACCTGTGTGCATCATGATATGACAAGACCTTCATGTGATCTTGCCAGTGTGTTTTATCTTAGCATAATCTGTGTTTCAGATGATTATTCCAGCAAAAGGGAAACATTTAGTCTTTTTAATTGTAACAGTTGGCTCTTAAAATTCTTGAGGCATCAGGACAATGTATAAGCTTAAGGAAGAGTTTGAAGTGGAACATGGAAGTGGGTTAGTGGATGTTTGCAGAGCATTCCTCCGTAGCATGGGAACAGCATGGAAGAGAGCTTTGAGATAGTTGTTACAGTAAAAATTTTACAAGTAAATGGTGGAAGTTAGTAGTACAGGCTAATTAGAGGCAGAATTCCACATCTTGGTGTTAGAGATGAGTAAGGAGAGAATGAGCTATCAAGAACTTGGCAATGAAAGTAAAGTAACTTCTGTTTATGTAATAAAAGGGAGAAGCAGTAAGGGAATGCAAAGAGAGCCTGATTAAGGTGAAACGATGAATTAGGAAAACATTTTATAGCATAGATGAACAACAGTAGGACAACACTGAATCCAAAGAAAAGGGCACTGGATGCTCAAGATGCAGACTGATGAGAATCTGGATGGCAGTGTTAATTGTGTGAATAGATGACAAAGGCTTTGCCTCAGATGTCTTGCAAGAAAAGGATACGTAGGCCTTAGCTGCAAACAAAGCATATCCTGTGAACATAACCAAAGTGTGATTTTTGAATGCTTAATTCTTGGAACCCATGTTCCCAATGTAACTGTGTGCCTTCAGAGGGCAATTATGAGTGCCTAAATTAGGTATCAAAAATTGCATATCCCAAGCTGTTGTCAACCATCATGTGTCGCCAAGCTATGATACTATTAATACCTGGGAAAAAAAATCACCCATGACAACAGTTATCTTTGATCTGCATGTTTGTAAATGTAGTTCAGAATTTTGCCTTAGATTTTTCAAAGACTTGCATCTTTCAAAGGGAGGCATAATAGATCAGTTCAGATTCTTCTGTCATTGTTATCTTCCAGGACTCCTGTTTCAAGTGGTTTCTGAAAGCTTCTGTGAAGTACCAGATGATCTGAGATAAGACCTGATCCAGATGTCTTTGGATAGTCAGAGCAATCCATTCTTTTGACTTCAACAAACTTAATCATAAGTTCTAAATAAAGGAATTAGTGTTGACTTTAGAGAACTGGTTGAAAGAGAACTGGCTGGAAAGCTGCCTGGCGGAAAAGGACCTGGGGGTGTTGGTCGACAGCCGGCTGAACATGAGCCGGCAGTGTGCCCAGGCGGCCAAGAAGGCCAATGGCATCCTGGCCTGTATCAGAAATGGTGTGGCCAGCAGGAGTAGGGAAGTGATCGTGCCCCTGTACTCGGCCCTGGTGAGGCCGCACCTCGAATACTGTGTTCAGTTTTGGGCCCCTCACTACAAGAAGGACGTTGAGGTGCTGGAGCGTGTCCAGAGAAGGGCAACGAGGCTGGTGAGGGGTCTGGAGAACAAGTCTGATGAGGAGCGGCTGAGGGAACTGGGGTTGTTTAGCCTGGAGAAAAGGAGGCTGAGGGGAGACCTCATCGCTCTCTACAACTCCCTGAAAGGAGGCTGTAGCGAGGTGGGGGTCGGTCTCTTCTCCCAAGTAACAAGCGATAGGATGAGAGGAAATGGCCTCAAGTTGCGCCAGGGGAGGTTTAGATTGGACATGAGGAAAAATTTCTTTACTGAAGGAGTGGTTAAACCTTGGAACAGGCTGCCCAGGGAAGTGGCTGAGTCACCATCCCTGGAGGTATTTAAAAGACGGGTAGATGAGGCGCTTAGGGACATGGTTTAGTGGGCATGGTGGTGTTGGCTTGACGGTTGGACTCGATCTTAGAGGTCTCTTCCAACCTTAATGATTCTATGATTTTCTTTACTCACTGTACAATTAAGTATTCGATAAAGCAGGAGTTTCTTGTATGGAGTCAATTGTCTCATGGGTCAAAAGCAGTTTTTTGTCAGGGCAAAACACAATGGAAGGGGGAGTAAGTTCATGTAGATTCCCCAAAAGATTAGACAGACAGGTGGAAAACAGAAGCCTGAATTCTCCTGTTAGGGGCCAAATGAGAGTCATCCAGAAACTACACCAAGGTGCACCTCTGAAGCAGTGTGACATGCTGTTAAAATGTGTTAAAAAATACAGTAAAAGGGAAGATTCTCAGATGTTGTTTGTCTGCTAGAGCTGTGAAAATGTGCTACTTTGTGTTGTGCATTGTTTATTTTCAGTTAAAATAATAACTCTCAGGGAAGTAATTCCTAGTTTTCTGCAGCTTTCTTGGAGATGATTTTTTGAAAGTGAAGGTCGGTACTGTAAGTAGGGTATTGTTCAAGAAATTATTCCCTTTGCTTCTTCCTGCAGAAGTATAGTTGGGCATTTTGAGATAAGATTGCACCACTATGGCAGTAGGAATAGAAAGCCAAATAACCATCCAGGCCTAATACTTCTTAAATTTTACTGGGGAGCTACCGGGCTGTCCTATTGTTGATATGTTTTTTTCCAAAGCAACGTTCTGCTCTCTGACAAATATGTAAATCTCTGAAATTATTATGTCATTGTACAGAGTTCTGAATACTAGAAACTATGTCCTTTCAAAGTAGTTAAATGCTTTCTTACCTTCAGAAACTCTTAACAGGTAACACTGAAGGTTCAGTTCCACTCAGTGCTTTGCAATTTCTCTCTACTTATTCTTTTTGTAGTGTATATTTATTAAAAAGTGTTTTCTGAGTAGATTACTGAAAGCAATAACCTATTCCTATCAAGACCATGAATTCATGTTTAATGTAATTAGTTAGACAAAAGTGAAAGCTTACGTACTGATATAATGTGCTATAGATGGGCTTCTCTGCACTTCTTTATTGATGGTACTTTAAGTAGTGAGTTGAGGAGAAACAGATAATGAAAATTGATTCTTCTCTGCAGGTCTCTCTTGCTTGCTGTTGGGCTTCGACAGACCTAATCTCTGAAGATAATTAAAGTTCCCTTGTGCTGAATGCTGTAAGTGATTTTTTTGTTTGTTTTATGGAAATTGTTAGGAGCCTATTTGCCTCAAGTAGGGGAAAAAAGGTGAAAATGCCAAAATTGCAAACAAATGGTAGAAATGAAGTTGGTGCAGATTTGTTAAATGACTGTACATTTTTGCAGGAGATATTTCTAAACAGCATTTTGTATTCAGGAACACCCCTGTCTCCATTCCAGCCATGCTGATAAATGCAGTAGCAGAATCCTAATTGCAAATTGCCAGTAAAGATACCAAAGGAAACAATATTTTCATACTTCTATCAGGACTACAACTGGATCAGTAATCTCAGGATGGTGGAGGGAGTCTGCTGTTGCTGTGTGTTTTGTATTTGGTTGAGAATAAACACCTGAAGTATCAGTATAGTATCTTTACCAGAATATCATGTAGAGAAGTCAGAGGGGTGATAAAACTTGTGAATGAAAAATTTTCCCATTGGTAATAACACAGGGTGGTGGCCCTGGCTGTTATTTAGCATAACAGTTGTTTGAATTTCAGGTGCCATGATAACATAGCAGGAGACTTAAAATACATCTTTGCTGTTTAACAGACTTCTCACAGGAGCAGACTTGCATGCTTTAAACCCTGTAAATATAGAAGTGTGGCTTCTGGAGCATCTGGGATAATACCCCCCATAGTACATGGAATCCAGCAATTGTATCTGGTAGGCTACTGCAGGGAGGCAGAATGTGGGTAGGAGGCTGGAAACAGAATGCCATGGGTTTGACCTTGTTTCAGCATCCCTTTAGTATCCTTAGGACACAGCTCTCTGCTGATTCTATAATTAATAGTTATGCATGTTGCTAACGACACATTCTTATTTCTACAAGAGTCTTTAAAACAGTTGATATTCTTGCACCAGTGAAAACATGCAAAGAGCTCTTCATACCCCCATTTTTTCCCCAAAGCTGTGGGAACAATTTTCTGGCTTGTAGAACAAAGAAATTAGAACAAATTACATAGCCAACATCTGCACCTGGCTCACTTATTAAGTGAATATTTGGCATAGATGCTAAATTATCTTCTGCCAAGAGAGCCTTGCCGATACAGTTGTTCAGGGATGAAGATGTGATAATGTCTTTTCCTTTTTGGTTCACTAAAGCTATTTTCTTGATTTGTCAAAGTCAATTTTGTTGGAAAGTAAACTATCTTTTTACTTTTAAATATCAGAGGTTAATTAATGGTTAATCAAACTTTTTCTAACCAACCATGTTAAGATTATGATAGTGTATCACTTTAGTTCCAATGGCAGACACATCACATATGGGTTGCCATTTTGATGGCTTTGAATGGTAATCTGACCCATAAACACTGAAGCATAATATGCAAACTGATTTTTTTCTGGCCTGCCCTATTATTGATGCCATCTGTGTTAGGATGGAAGTGAGCCTGCTCAAAGAGTGGTCTGCCAGTTTTAAGCAGAGTGGTAGTGCCAATCACAAATGGATTTAAAAGAATAGCCTCATGTGAACAAGAAGAGAAGGAAGATTCTCCCGAGAGCAGGAAGTTTCACTTGAAAGCATATTATGTCTGTTAAATCCTTTGACCTATGGAACATCCATCAGACCTTTCTGTGAATTCTTCACATGGATAAGTAAACTGAACTTACTTTCTAAAAATCAAGAAAAAACTCTCAACTTTCAAACGTTGCTCTCCCTCCCACCACTGCCTTCTATTGTTGTCATCCATAATGGAATACAGTGCAGGAAGCTCAGTATCTGATCCTGTCAAGTATTTGCAGTGTATCCATTCAGCAAAACCAATCACAGTAAATTATTTTGTAAGTTTTGTAGATACGTGTTTTTAATCTGCTGTATATGCTGTTGAATTCATAGTATTCAGAGCCCTGGGCTGCCATTTCTGAATTCCTGTCTTTGACAATTAACAAAAATCTACATTGTAGGTGAAGGTGAGTACCTGTCTGCTGCTGATGCATCTCAGCTCAAAAAAATTAAGGTATTTAAGCACCTAATTTTCACTGTAGTCAATGAGCTCTCAGTTCTCTCATATTCAGTTTGAGAGAGCCTGTACTCTGAAGTTAGAGATTCAATGACCTTGTCTTATGTGTAACCACAAGTGTCTTGGTACCATTTATAATCCAGAGAAACACATTAAATGATTTTCACTGGTTAGGAATATGGTCTACAGAAATCTGTTTTTTTAATCTCTTTAAATCGATTACATTGTCTGAACAACCATTTGCTTTTGCAGTAAGGAAGCATGTAAAAGAAGGCACTCATCGATGAATGTCATGTTCGTGACACACTTGGACATCCCTCTGAAGTCCTCTTTAAGCCTTTTATTTCAGGCTAAATAAACACCAATTTTAGCAATGTCTCATCTACTCCCTTAATTACTGCTGTTGAGAGAAAGTTTCTGCCGATGCAAATGTGCTATTTTGTCATGTCACATCAAATTGCATCAGCCTTATATTTAGGAACAAAAAGAGGGGGAGGCTGAGACAGGATGTGGCTACAAATGGAACCAAAGGGTTTTCTTAAATACAGGCTGAAAATAGACAATTGAGGCAGTGATGCTTTTTCAAGCAAAAATCCATGAAAGGAAGAATCAAGTCTGTGACGACAGAAATGAAAAGCAGGGCTGGGGGTGTGAGAAGAGGGAGTTCTAGGTGGAGGCGTGGGGTGGTGTCAGGGAAAAGCTGATGAACTACTCATTTACGCAAACACCCTTTGCATTGTCAGATTGGTGTGAAGTGATTTTAGAATATGTTAGACCACATACATCTCCTCTTGTTCCTTCTGTGCTGGCTAAAAAAGTTATACCCATGCTTCCCTCCAGCTTGTTGCAGGGCATGCCACCTGCCCTTTCCTTTGTGATTATCTCCCCTTCAGGTCTCAAAGCTGAACTTGTTGATTGCTTCCCAACTTGACTTATTTTGACTGAAAAAAATTTTAATGACTCGTCTTTACTGACTTGGATGTCTCAGCTTAATCCAGTCACTTGCAGGAATTGCCCTAAATACCACACAGCTTTATTCTCATTTACTTATCTGTTACTATATGCTGCCTTGATGTAGGGATTGTTCATTAGATTTTTTTCTTCTCAAAACATTGTCAAATTCCCAAGCCTAAAATCAATATGCTGCAAAAGGGCTCAGCTTTATTCAATTCTTTGTGCCTGTTTACATGATGGTTGAATTTGCTAATGTTGGAAGTATTTCTTCTGGCTTCTGGGTCAACCTGAAGAATTCTAAGTGTTTTCTGTGTAGGATCCATAAACAGAAATAAAGTGGTTTGTTCTCTGTTATTTTTGCATGCAATTTGTAGGGTTGTACCTTACTAGATGAGATTTTGGGTTCCCTTTTTCTCTAGTGGGGTAACCGAACAAATAGTAGTAAAGTTAAAGGAAGACTGTACCTAATTAAGCAAAAATGTTGAAGGGAAAAAACCTGGGAGGGCACATATAAAATTTGTGAATCGCATCTAGCAAAATTTACTTAAACCACAGTGGAAATATATGAAAAAATAATGATTTTTCAGGTGCTTTGTATAGTGTATTAAATTCTATAGCCTAGTAGGCCTTCAGAGTGCTAATATAACATACTTATACTCAAAATATCTTTAAGTATGAATTAAACCTTAAAGGGTCTTGCATTGCAGGAGTGGTGTTGTCCATCTGTAACAGACAGTTGCCTTGAACAATGCAGTTACTCCTAGGTAACTTTGGAGAAACTCGCTACAATCAAAACTCAAGCCCAGTCATTCAGATTGCCAGCAAACGTATGTTTTTGTGGTTCAATAGAAATGTGCTGATTTACACTAGCCAAGAACTTGGGCTAGTGACTTTATTGTTGCCTTCAGTGGCATTTGCCTGGAGAAACTGTGGTAGAAAAATGAAGTCCTTCAAATTGAGTACCAATACAGATACAATATCAAGATTCTAATGTTGGACATGAATTCATGTATGGCAACATACACTATTTCAGTTTATTTCTTTTAACTACTTCCAGCAATAACTCTCAGCGCACTAAACTAAAACTAAATAGATTGTGGTAAATAGGCATAGAGAAAATTTACAGTAGCAGCTGCTGTCCAAATAAATGTAGGAGACTTCAAACAATCCATCACGCTAAATTTACTTTACAGTGTAGTGTCTCTTCACAAATAATATTTTAAAAAATTGTTCTTGAGAAAAGTCAGTTTGGTTCTTCAGAAAATGTTAGCAGCTTCCCCATGGAAGACACTTTTTGCCCTTTCAGAACTGGGCAGAAAATGATCTATTGAAATCAAATGCATAAATTATGCATGTAATACAACTTGCTTTGAAATGATGAGTCTGATCAGAGCCTGATGGCAATTAAACTGAGTTCTGAAAGATCAGCTGTGTTTGAGAATCATCAGAACTCTTGGTGTGGATGTGATCTGTAGGTGTGCTAGCAGCACCTACTTATCAAATTAGAAAAATAGTATTAATTTCTTACAGCTAAGCACTTGGATTCTCTCTTCAGAAGTAATTGGTGATGTTAGAGGTAATATTTTTTTATTCTTGTCAGAAAGGATAATAAAAATGCAGTAGAAGCTTAGAAGCTTGTATATTTACAGCATTATGACAAATGTAAGTCAAGTAGTTTTTCAGGCTGAAGCTAGACAGGCAAAGGCACCCAACTCTTCATGGTTAGATATTACTAGTCCTCCAGGACTGTAAAATATTAAATATAGTGAGGCTGTAATCTAAACTCTTAATTTTTAAATTCTTTACAGCAGAAAAATAACAAGCCATGGTGCTAAATCCATCTACACAATGAAGCTTGATGGAAACAAGGCAATGAAAGATTTACCTCAGGCTTTACACACAAAACTGCAGTGTGTGGTAGTCTGTGCACTCAAGGCGCGCAGGTCCACAAATGGGAAGAGAGGCATAATACTGCCAGCTTCTAGCCTGAGCAGTAAGAGGCTTGTGTCTTTGACTTAGCTGCAGTATTTGGTGTTCTGTCTTTTGTGATTTTTTTTTTTTGGTA